AAAACACTATCCAATACCACTTATTTATATAAATAATGAATAATAATAATGAATAAAGCGACAAAACCCTTTCCATATCCGATAGAAATAAAGCAGAGTCGATTGTACGATTCCGACTATATCGTGAACATGTGTTTTTGAATGACTATCAAATAGTACCAGGTGTTCGCGAAAAGGTGAGCGTAACCTGCCCCACCGGTGGCACCCGTCTCAAACACATGCAAAGACAAGTCAATTGTTCACCTGAAGAAGAACTGTTTGATAGGCATTAATTAGAAGTTGACGGATGACAAAGTAGAGATATGTAGGTTTGCACGATCGCTCCCCATCTGCGACATGCCGGCAAGATAGCCCACGGATTACTTCCAAGCATACTTGTATTCGTCACTATATCAAAGCGTATTCAGGGGCGCCGTCATCGAGCGGGTGAATATTGTTGTAAAGTTATATGCTATCCGTCTATCTTCCGAAGGATAAAGGGGCGGTGACGTAGCCTAGAAGTTAAAGTGTTCGCTCGTCACGCCGATGACCCGGGTTCGACACCCAACATTTTTGGGGTGCCCCGCCGTGATATTGCTGATATGGCGTAAAACAATACTCCCTCACTCCAAAGGTTAAGAATTTTGGTTGCATACAATTAAAGATGGCCGCCTCCATGACTCTGGAAGAAGCAGGGAAAGACGTTTTCGCAAACGATGATTGATGACAACATGTGACAGAATGAACCCTACCAGGTAAACATGCTCGAAAGCATATACATACATGTAGTTGTCACACATACAGGGAAATGATGAGGCCTGGCAGGAGGCGTGGGAAGATAACTGTGTATATCATAGAGAGATAGGGATCCGAGACATACTGATGCTGAACTCTCACTGCATGTATTCTACACTTACCTGAAATACATTGAATGGCGAGCTGGGTTCAAAATGTAAGGTAACGCCGTCAAATCTACAGGTCAAACAGAAAAGCACGTTGTGTTTAGTGTGACATGGGAAGTTGTGACAGAACACGTACAGTAGTTGCATTATTCATTTGAATTACCACTGGGGTGAAGCTGATCAGGGCCCACTTGCACAAGCGATCTTAGCGCTAAGATGATCGTAACTCTCATACTTTAACATAGGCTTACAATAGTCGTAGCGCTAAGATCGCTTTGTGCAAGTGGGCCCAGGATGGGATCGTGTAATCATATATCCATCTTCATAGTGATTCATAAACATATGCTTTTATATAGTTGGAATCGTACAATGGACTCTGCTTTATAACATGTGTTTTACAATTTGTCGTTTTATTATTCTAAAATACCTCAGATGCGCCTCTGGTAGACACTTACTTTCGGTATCTTTGACCATTTTTTTGACAACATCTATTCCAGTAATTTATTCAGATTCCCGTTGGTCAATTGTGACTCGATACTAATAGACAGGGGCGACGCCACGTTTGTTTGTAAACCTAAGTGATCGTTTTGCATATGTATCCTTAATGACCGCAACTGTTTTTATCCGTTGGTTTATACTGTCGAGAAACCTAATCAGTATACGATCAATGTAAGTTCTCATGACCTTGACCTTTGCCATTCTCTGTGTGATATCTCTATATCACCACTGTAGTCCGTTTAAAATAGTCCATACTCAAGTGTTCATATGTATTTTTGAGCAATTTTAGGATTATATTTTTAATGTTTTACTGCTCTGGAAACAATATAATTTAGCTGTATTTTTATGTCTTCATAAAACTTGGAATGTATATCTGTTGCTTACACTGTCTTCCTTCCCGTCCACAATAAATCTCTGGATGTAAATAATGGAGGTTGTGAATAGCAATAGATGTCAGGCAAAAACAGTTGTATTTAATACCGAGATATCCTTACTCAGACTTTCTGCATATTTCAATTCAGTGACAATTTTTAGTGTTGTTTGTTTGTTCGGCAGCCACAGTATTCTTACACAAGGAAGCACAGTGTAAGTCACAGTTGTTATTTCTGACTCATGCTAATATTCATTCAACGCATAGTGTAAGGGAAATATTTACTCCTGTCGGTACACTGCAAAACTTGTTAAAAGACATGTCATTTTGAGTAACACGTGAGTGTTATGTTCTCAATGTGTTTGGCCGAGGTTAGAGCCGTGTGGGGTTTTAACGAAACTTATTAAAATCTATCAAAATATTTAGCTTGCATTGTCTCACTAAATATCCTAGGTCAGCCATAGGCATCTAGATTACTGACACATAAGTTCAGACAAATCTAATTTGTTTTCATTTTGTTTATCCGTTTCGACCATTAGAAGAAATACATAATCAATAGGGATGGGTATTGGCCACAGAAAAAACTCCAGAATGCGAACTTGCATTTTGTAATTACGGAAATATTTCGAAGGTATTTGTCAAGAGTATTACATTAAACACATGATAAAAATAGCTATTTGAAATCACTCGATATACCGAGCATTAAAACATGATATTGTGATACGTATCATTGAACGAACGAACCTCAATTTACCGATATAACGGTAATAGAAATATCGGTAGCCATATTTTTCTTGATCAGAAATTTTGTTTTAGCAATTAAGCAAAATTAATTATAATACTGCAAAAAAACATTAACGGACATATATAATGGGATTTTATTATGATGTCATGATACAGAAATCTGATACATCGACAGGCCAAGTAATTGGAATCAGTGAAGATGGGTGAGGTGAAATGGGGTTTAACGTCGCGTCCAAGATTATTGCACTTATATAGCGACGTGCATGTACGTGTGTGTGTTTGTGTGTTTGTGTGGCTGCTTGTACTAGTCCGGACTGATGCCAATTTATAGTGCTAGCTCACTGAGATACCATGCCGCAGTTTAACATGAATACCCCACTCAGACACAGTATACTGACTCCGAGCCGACCAGTCCTTGTTGTAGCCCCTAAATGCCGAGCGCCAGGCAGGGTAACAACAAGTACCATCTTTTAACGTATTTTGGTATGACGCGACCGGGGATTGAACCCCGGGCCTTCCGCTCTCCGGGCGGACGCTCTACCACTAGACCACGGAGGCGGTCCGGAATCAGTGAAGAGCCATAATCCCTGGTACATTGCACTGTACAGCACGGGAGGCTCTGCGGTGCAGGCGATGTAAATCGATTTGCGGAGTTGCAACCCATAGTCGTGCAAGGATCCGTTGATAGTGGGTTCAAGTCCTTTATTCCCACTGATTATGACGATTGGTTTGTTAGCCTCATACCTGCGGTCCAGGTTTCGCAAAAAGGATAAATATCAACGATGTGCCCGACTTCTCTTCTACATTAAATGATAACTGAAATACTGTTCACAGCGGCGGTAAATATATATTGTCAATGCAAGAGAATAATCAGCCTAGAATTTCTGCCGAAACAGATTCCACTTGGCGTTGACGGACCACTGAAAGTAAGTGATGAAACCGTTCGCGAAGAGCTTAAGCAAGTCCTGCCCTACCGGCAGCACCCGCCATTCATACAATTTGCATAAAAACGTAAGTATTTATTGCCTGATGCAGCACAGCAGTACTCCTGCCATGCGACGTCAGCCTGTAAACCAACCAGACAATCAAGTGATCGATGAACCAGAAAATCCAGTGACACGAGAGTACCATTACTGATTTTGTTGAAACTAATTAAAACGAAATGTTAATTTTGAATTACGTTTGCTGCGTACAAGTGTACAGATTTTGCTGCTGAGAAGTAAAGAAAAACGTTAAGAAAAATATATTCGTTTTGCAACACAGTAAGGCGCAGTGTTGAAGTCTCTGTTCAAACACTTCTTTTGTAGTTGACTCAGAATAGATCACACTTACTCATTCTCCATTTAAACTACAATGTTAAAGGTTTGGGCCTGTGTTTCATGTATCAGTTTCAGTATTACTGCTTAATAACACATTTATTTTACACGGAAACGGTCGCTATTGACATGACTAATACCGAAACATTATAATCCAGACCGATTTCTTCCAAAAGATAACATTGACCACACAAATTCACATCGCATTATTAACTTTATAATGTACAAAGTCGATCAAATAACCAGGGGCACATGCTAACATATTTCTGAAATTGTGATTTTAGTTCAATGACAGTCCGCAATACTTAGATTGTTAATCGAAAATATCAGTAAGCAGCAGTCTGATTGCATGTATTTAGAAAGCCCAAGCCTTCTGTGCGGTTTGCTTTTACCACGAATGACGATTTCATTCTGCAGTGTCAGCAGTATTACTACACTATGTCATTCATTGTCCATCCGTTGTCCTGAGTATTGTTTCAGAAGATCATTATTTAGCACAGGTCGTAAACGACTATCCCATTCCTCAATCAAACGAGCAAAGTCATGGTTACATTAAAGATCATACGCCAAGGAACAGCTAATGCTGTCACTTTGCCAAGGGACACGTGGGCGGACGTACATGTGGAGCAATGGTTTAACATATGAACAGATAAACAAATTGTTTCTGTACTGTTAGTTCATGATTATACTGTTTAGATTCGGGGTCAAGCAGGTACATGTTTCTCATACCGGCTTGGCTCAAGAAAGGTAATATGTCACTTATAACGCAGATAGCAGATGTGGGGAATCGAACCCGGGCCTTCGGCGTGACGAGCGAACGCTATAACCACTAGGTTACCCCAATGCCCCACATGTCAAACAGGACAAGTATTTGCAACTGTATGCAAACCAAGTATTCTACCTGAGGCTTTACTGACGCGTTTATTTCAAGTGTCGTATTCAAATATTCCGTCTGCATATTTGAACGGCATCCATTTATGCGTTATTATCAGATACGCATCAGAAACGATTAGCTAGTTTGTGTTGATAGTGAGGAGAGTACTTCTTCAAAAGATACATTGCTTCAATTGCACAGAAGACACTTTCCTTAAGACAACACGGCAAGTTCTGCATATCATTAACATAATGCCGCAGCACATATCTATAAGATATGCCCCAGTGTTCTACATTGTATACAAGCGTAACAACATGTTTCGTCAGCAAATGTTTATTAAAATCAGGCATAAGTAACAGCACATAAAATATTTACAATATAAGCGACAAAACTCACTTGAATATAGTTTACTACATTACAACTGAGGGCGATAATTTTCATTTTCCGTAGACAGTTTTATCTGGGGTAAGGTATTTCACAGTGACATTTGTCAAGTCATTATTTTGTTCTATGAATAAGATTGAACTGGTCTTTGTAGTAAGCTGCTGGATGCGTGAAGATACAGGCATATCATGTATGTCACAGACATACTGCATATGTTGACGACTGGAAACTTCAGCAGCAGCATTTCCAGAAGTAGTCATTAAAAGAGGCATAGATGGTGCTCTGGCAATTCCTTTCATTGGCGAGGATGCAATGTCATAAACGCCTGGCTGCTCTGATGTAACCAATGATTCTGATTCTGTCCCTTTTGCCATGAGAGGGTCAATGTGTAAGGTTTTGAGCATGATCGACTCATACGATGTCTGGCTGTCCCTTGACGCTCCTTGTCCGAGTGACCAGGACTGTCTTCTTGGTAACTTCTGTGTGGGGTCCTGTTTTCGGGGAGGAGGGGGAGGCTGTATAGATAACCTAGCTGGAGGAAGTCTAGGTATGCACGAATCAGAGTCCATGTCCTTGTCGTATATTTCCGAGTACTTATGCGATTGGTAGTCACTGTTGCGTGATTGCCTGGAACCATTGCTGTCCCATCTTCCACCTCCGGTGTTTGATGAGTAGACACGCATCAGTCTACAACAGCAAAATTAAATTGTTCATAATGTGCCTATACAGATACTTCTCCCAGCTATATAAGGAAAGTATACCTAATGATTGTGAGTTTTGTTTTCATGGCAGTACAAAGTGGACCGGTGACCTATTTCTCAAAGGTTAGGGAAAATCCAAACTGAAGTTTAAAAGCAATTGTTAACATTTTATATGTAAAAATAAAGTATAAAACTCTCGTCAACGCCAGACAAAAAACAGTCTCGATTATCTGACGATACAGATTCCATTGGTTATAAAAGGCAAAATAGTGACAATTTTATGAATGGATCACTGACATAATGCTCATTACAACTGAGTCACATAGTTTCAGTCCGCGTTAATCATTTCCTGTTATATGTGCTATCTTCGGCTTAGTACAAAGTGCGCTGTGTACTGACGGGTGAAGCAATCACATACACACATTGTTAGCCTGTTTGTGTTATCGTGTTACATAAACCCAAGTGCTGTGTCAAGAGCCTAAAACATTTAATCGTGCTTTAAATTGAAAACCGCTTAAATGTAGAATAAAGTTATGCTCAGTACACAATTTATGTGCATTACATACCTACTTCTCCTATGCGCCCAGATCCCTAATATCAGTAACAGCAACGTGGAAACTCCAGCTATTGTTCCGACGACAATAACCAAGGTGTGGTTAGCTTTACCTGAAAATACACCACCAGGTCATTATTCAATCTAGTGTGTTAAAGCAAATTCTTAGGCTGTAATTGCATATACAGTGCTCATGTGATGTACAATTTCGTTTTGTTTGTTTATTTGTTGCTTAACGCCGCACTCAGCAATATTTCAGCTATATGTCTGTACAATGATCGAGTCTGGACCAGACTTTCCAGTGATTGACATCATGAGCATCGATCCACTCAATTGGGATACGATGTCATGCATCAACCAAGTCAGTGAGCCTGACCACCCGATCCCGTTAGTCACCTCTTACGACATGCATGGGTTGCTGAAGACCAATTCTAACTCGGATCTTCACAGGTCCATGTGCTGCATATTAAAATCATTAAGGCACATAATGTTGTTTTTTTATGGAATACCTCTTTCCATAGCTTCATTGGTACACAGAGCATGTCACTTAGTGTCTTTTGATATCACAATATCAACACAAGTCGATAAGAGTTCTAAATTTGAAGGACGGGCGTTGATATGTTTGATATCAAAAGACCACGAGGGTGAGATTCTAATCTATCATCACAAATCATTCTTCCAACTTTTTCTAAGCCTGTCAACAGCATTCAGTGTCTTAAGTGTAACAGCTAACTATCTTCAGTGATGAGAATAGCGATGTCATTTGACTGTGACGTCGTGGTAACGATGATGTCACAATGGTCTTCAAAGCATTGCGCTGCAATGCCATTGAATTGATATCTTCAAGCTATACCTCCAGCCGAATGAGATTTCGGATGATTAATAATGCATCACTTTATACGGAACAAATAACGAACAAGTTACATTTACAACTTTGTACGATCAATTTCGTCTTCGGGCCTTACAAAAGGAATTTTTTCCATGACTTACGTTCTTGACAAGGTGAGGTGTTGCATGTTTCTCCCTCACACGGCGAGCATATCTCGTCGCAGTACGTCCTGCTGAAGTTGTTGGCACACTGGATACACAGGCCTGTCTCTCTGTGACACCCATGGCAGTTAACAGGGCATGGGGTGTCACAATTCACGCCATGAAAATTAGAATCCATGCAAGAACCAATGCATGTACTCGAATATCGATCACATAATCTACACCTTGATGGGCAGGATTCATTACAAAACCTCCCCCACATCCGTGGTATACACTGTATACACTCGCCCGTTTGTTTGTGACACCTGTCACACTCAGGTGAGCATGGGATGCTACACATTGCCCCACGATAGTTCTGATTTATGCAGGGGCCAGCACACTTAGAACTACTGATGTCAAAGCTCCTGCAGTTTGGGAGGCAGGTCTTTTTGCACGATGTGCTATCACAATTAGTCATATTCTCATCACACAAACCCCTACAGTAAGGTTCTGTACATTGTATGCAGCCTTCGCCATATTGCTCGCAACGTTCACAGTTGGCAGGGCATGTATGATTGCAATATCTTCCTCTGTAGCTTGCCTTGCAGCCATTACATTGTCCATTGGTTTTATTACACCCATCCATACAGTTCATGGCACATTGTATGCTACAGTTGGGGCCAAAAAAACGTGGATTCCGACACGATCCTACACAACCAACAGTATAACGTTCACACTGGATACAGGCTGCTAAACACTCAATCTTACAGTCATCTCCCCTTTTACCAGCCACACATCCGTCTGTACATACAACACGGGAGTTGTTCGTGCGACAGCGAGAGTTGAGGCAGTCGTCTGGGCAGACTTTACTTGTGTCAGAAGCTGGGGATGATAGAGAGAAAGTTTAGACATGCAGGTAGACATATACCTGGCGAAAAAAGAATACTATTGAAGCCAATTGACACAGCTACAACACATATGTGTATGTTTAAGTTTTTGGTTTTTGTTGACGTCACAATATTTGGCAATATTCCAACTATAAACGACGGGTTGAAATTAAACGAGTCTGGATAAGACGAACAAGTGATTGATATTATGAGCAGGGAAGCACGCGGTCAGGGTATGATGACTGCAATCATCCACAGAGTCTCACTATCCATCCATCTCGTTGCCTCGTACGACAAGAATGGGTTGATGGTGACCTATTCTAAACTGGGATCCCAATGTCAGGGCACAGTGAGAGATTTAGCGATAGTTACCTGTTGACGTCCAAAGCGAAAGGAGAATCACCACGAGAGACAACATCATTTCATTTGAGATTCCTCTGCAAATTAATCATTGTTGGTGTTTAATCGTATTCCATGGCAATGATGGATCTGCAATCAACAGTGTTAAAAAGTGACAATGCCATTCCATTTATTCACTTATAACATTATATATTTTACTTATCACATACCTATAGTCTCTTATCTGAGTTACGATACACAAAGGGACTGTCCGTGCCCAATGCCACAACACGAATACAGAATTTAATTATGACTTGGATATCATATAATATCTAACTTCCTTGGTTTGTTTTCTCTCTTGAAGGTTTATGTGCATAGAACACATTGATTAACATCACTGCTGACCTTGCACATTTCTCGTTTTTAAACATTGCAAGGAAATTGTCTCTGAGCAGGACACATGTAAAAATCAATTACCTTGTTTCGTTGAACAAACATATTCCTAGACTGTATGTGCATGTTTATGGGTTTGAGTGGGTGCGTTGGTAATTGTGTGAGTGTTTGCTTCAGTCAACTCAAACCACGGGAGTATAGCCAAGAAGTAGGTGAGGTGAAAGGGGGTTTAACGTCGAGTCCAAGATTATTGCACTTATATAGCGACGTGTATGCACATGTGTGTGTGCAGCTGCTTGTACTAGTCCGGACTGATGCCAATTTATAGTGCTAGCCCACTGAGATACCAGGCCACAGTTTAATTTAATATGAATACCCCACTCGGACACAGTATACTGACTCCAACCCGACCAGTCCTTGTTTTAGCCCCTTAATGCCGAGCGCCAGACAGGGTAACAACAAGTACCATCTTTTGACGCGGCCGGGGATCGAACCCCGGACCTTCCGCTCTCCGGGTGGACGCTCTACCACTAGACCACGGAGGCGGTCCCAACAAGTATAACACAAGCTTCGGGTGTAATGATGATATCATTTTGTTCAGTATCGTCTAACAGCCAAGTCACTTTCTTTCATAAGAGTGCGTGATGACAAACTATCCACAAGACTGTATAACAAGATAGATGACTTCAACTTTTCCACAGTTAACTTTCTCTTTATGTGTAGCAATATTCCAGCAGCTCCAGCCTTTGGAGTCGACATTTCACAACCATTGAGGTACAATCGAGCATACTCTTTCTGCGAAGATTTCAAAGACCGTCACGTGACTTTTCCTAAATACTTTAAATCTTTCTAGGCCTAAGAAAAGCTTTAAAAGGTTTTATGGTGGACATATGGAAGATGTTTCTAAATTCGATGTAATTCAGCTAACAATATGTGTGACGGGGGTCCTCATGTAACAATATGTGAGACGGGGGTCCTCAGCTAACAATTTGTGGGTCGGGGATCCTCAGCTAACAATATGTATGGCAGGGGGTCCTCAGCTAACAATATGTATGGCAGGGGGTCCTCAGCTAATAATATGTATGGCAGGCGGTGCTCAGCAAACAATATGTGACGGCGGTCCTCAGCTAACAATATGTGAGACGGGGGTCCTCAGGTAACAATATGTGTGACGGGGGTCCTCAACTTACAATATGTGTGGCAGGCGGTCCTCAGCTAACAATATGTGTGGCAGGCGGTGCTCAGCTAACAGTATGTGTGACGGGGGTCCTCATGTAACAATATGTGAGACGGGGGTCCGCAGCTAACAATTTGTGTGTTGGGGGTCCTCAGCTAACAATATGTATGGCAGGGGGTCCTCAGCTAACAATATGTGTGACGGGGGTCCTCAGCTAACAATATGTGTGACGGGGGTCCTCACCTAACGATATGTATGGCAGGCGGTAATCAGCTAACAATATGTATGGCAGGCGGTCCTCAGGTAACAATATGTGACGGCGGTCCTCAGCTAACAATATGTGAGACGGGGGTCCTCAGCTAACAATATGTATGGCAGGCGGTCCTCAGCTAACAATATGTATGGCAGGGGGTCCTCAGCTAACAATATGTGTGGCAGGCGGTGCTCAGCAAACAATATGTGACGGCGGTCCTCAGCTAACAATATGTGAGACGGGGGTCCTCAGCTAACAATATATATGGCAGGCGGTCCTCAGCTAACAATATGTATGGCAGGGGGTCCTCAGCTAACAATATGTGTGGCAGGCGGTGCTCAGCAAACAATATTTGACGGGGGTCCTCAACTTACAATATGTGTGGCAGGCGGTCCTCAGCTAACAATATGTGTGGCAGGCGGTGCTCAGCTAACAGTATGTGTGGCAGGCGGTCCTCAGCTAACAATATGTGTGACGGGGGTCCTCATGTAACAATATGTGAGACGGGGGTCCGCAGCTAACAATTTGTGTGTCGGGGGTCCTCAGCTAACAATATGTGTGGCAGGCGGTGCTCAGCAAACAATATGTGACGGCGGTCCTCAGCTAACAATATGTGAGACGGGGGTCCTCAACTTACAATATGTGTGGCAGGCGGTCCTCAGCTAACAATATGTGTGGCAGGCGGTGCTCAGCTAACAGTATGTGTGACGGGGGTCCTCATGTAACAATATGTGAGACGGGGGTCCTCATGTAACAATATGTGAGACGGGGGTCCGCAGCTAACAATTTGTGTGTCGGGGGTCCTCAGCTAACAATATGTATGGCAGGGGGTCCTCAGCTAACAATATGTGTGACGGCGGTCCTCAGCTAACAATATGTGTGACGGGGGTCCTCAGCTAACAATATGTATGGCAGGCGGTCCTCAGCTAACAATATGTATGGCAGGCGGTCCTCAGGTAACAATATGTGACGGCGGTCCTCAGCTAACAATATGTGAGACGGGGGTCCTCAGCTAACAATATGTATGGCAGGAGGTCCTCAGCTAACAATATGTATGGCAGGGGGTCCTCAGCTAACAATATGTAAGGCAAGCGGTCCTCAGCTAACAATATGTATGGCAGGCGGTCCTCAGGTAACAATATGTGACGGCGGTCCTCAGCTAACAATTTGTGAGACGGGGGTCCTCAGCTAACAATATGTAAGGCAGACGGTCCTCAGCTAACAATATGTATGGCAGGCGGTCCTCAGGTAACAATATGTGAGACGGGGGTCCTCAGCTAACAATATGTATGGCAGGCGGTCCTCAGCTAACAATATGTGAGACGGGGGTCCTCAGCTAACAATATATAGGGCAGGGGGTCCTCAGCTAACAATATGTGAGACGGGGTCCTCATTTCACAATATGTATGGCAGGAGGTCCACAGCTAACAATATGTATGGCAAGGGATCCTCAGCTGACAATATGTATGACAGGCGGTCCTCAGCTAACAATATGTGTGACGGGGGTCCTCAGCTAACAATATGAATGGCAGGCGGTCCTCAGCTAACAACATGTATGGCAGGGGGTCCTCAGCTAACAATATGTGAGACGGGGGTCCTCAGCTAACAATATGTGTGACGGGGGTCCTCAGCTAACAATATGTATGGCAGGTGGTCCTCAGCTTACAATATGTGCGGCAGGCGGTCCTCAGCTAACAGTACGTGTGGCAGGCGATGCTCAGCTAACAATATATGTGACGGGGGTCCTCAGCTAACAATATGTGTGACGGGGGTCCTCAGCTAACAAAATGTATGGCAGGGGGTCCTCAACTAGCAATATGTATGGCAGGGGGTCCTCAGCTAACAATATGTGTGGCAGGCGGTGCTCAGCTAACAGTATGTGACGGCGGTCCTTAGCTAACAATATGTGTGACGGGGGTCCTCAGCTAACAATATGTAAGGCAGGCGGTCCTCAGCTAACAATATGTATGGCAGGCGGTCCTCAGCTAACAATATGTGAGACGGCGGTCCTCAGCTAACAATATGTGAGACGGGGGTCCTCAGCTAACAATATGTGAGACCGGAATCCTCAGCTTACAATATGTATGGCAGGCGGTCCTCAGCTAACAATATGTGAGACGGGGGTCCTCAGCTAACAATATATAGGGCAGGGGGTCCTCAGCTAACAATATGTGAGACGGGGGTCCTCATTTCACAATACGTATGGCAGGAGGTCCTCAGCTAACAATATGTATGGCAAGGGATCCTCGGCTAACAATATGTATGACAGGCGGTCCTCAGCTAACAATATGTATGGCAGGCGGTCCTCAGCTAACAATATCTATGGCAGGCGGTCCTCAGGTAACAATATGTGACGGCGGTCCTCAGCTAACAATATGTGAGACGGGGGTCCTCAGCTAACAATATGTAAGGCAGGCGGTCCTCAGCTAACAATATGTATGGCAGGCGGTCCTCAGGTAACAATATGCGAGACGGCGGTCCTCAGCTAACAATATGTGAGACGGGGGTCCTCAGCTAACAATATGTATGGCAGGCGGTCCTCAGCTAACAATATGTGAGACGGGGGTCATCAGCTAACAATATATAGGGCAGGGGGTCCTCAGCTAACAATATATGAGACGGGGTCCTCATGTAACAATATGTAGGGCAGGAGGTCCTCAGCTAACAATATGTATGGCAAGGGATCCTCAGCTGACAATATGTATGACAGGCGGTCCTCAGCTAACAATATGTGTGACGGGGGTCCTCAGCTAACAATATGAATGGCAGGCGGTCCTCAGCTAACAACATGTATGGCAGGGGGTCCTCAGCTAACAATATGTGTGACGGGGGTCCTCAGCTAACAATATGTGTGACGGGGGTCCTCAGCTAACAATATGTATGGCAGGTGGTCCTCAGCTAACAATATGTGTGGCAGGCGGTCCTCAGCTAACAGTACGTGTGGCAGGCGATGCTCAGCTAACAATATATGTGACGGGGGTCCTCAGCTAACAATATGTGTGACGGCGGTCCTCAGCTAACAAAATGTATGGCAGGGGGTCCTCAACTAGCAATATATATGGCAGGGGGTCCTCAGCTAACAATATGTGTGGCAGGCGGTGCTCAGCTAACAGTATGTGACGGCGGTCCTTAGCTAACAATATGTGTGACGGGGGTCCTCAGCTAACAATATGTAAGGCAGGCGGTCCTCAGCTAACAATATGTATGGCAGGCGGTCCTCAGGTAACAATATGTGACGGCGGTCCTCAGCTAACAATATGTGAGACGGGGATCCTCAGCTTACAATATGTATGGCAGGCGGTCCTCAGCTAACAATATGTGAGACGGGGGTCCTCAGCTAACAATATATAGGGCAGGGGGTCCTCAGCTAACAATATGTGAGACGGGGGTCCTCATTTCACAATATGTATGGCAGGAGGTCCTCAGCTAACAATATGTATGGCAAGGGATCCTCAGCTAACAATATGTATGACAGGCGGTCCTCAGCTAACAATATGTGTGACGGGGGTCCTCAGCTAACAATATGTATGGCAGGCGGTCCTCAGCTTACAATATGTGTGACGGGGGTCCTCAGCTAACAATATGTAAGGCAGGCGGTAATCAGCTAACAAAATGTATGGTAGGCGGTCCTCAGGTAACAATATGTGACGGCGGTCCTCAGCTAACAATATGTGAGACGGGGGTCCTCAGCTTACAATATGTATGGCAGGCGGTCCTCAGCTAACAATATGTATGGCAGGGGGTCCTCAGCTAACAATATGTGTGGCAGGCGGTGCTCAGCAAACAATATGTGACGGCGGTCCTCAGCTAACAATATGTGAGACGGGGGTCCTCAACTTACAATATGTGTGGCAGGCGGTCCTCAGCTAACAATATGTGTGGCAGGGGGTGCTCAGCTAACAGTATGTGTGGCAGGCGGTCCTCATCTAACAATATGTGTGACGGGGGTCCTCATGTAACAATATGTGAGACGGGGGTCCGCAGCTAACAATTTGTGTGTCGGGGGTCCTCAGCTAACAATATGTATGGCAGGGGGTCCTCAACTAACAATATGTGTGACGGCGGTCCTCAGCTAACAATATGTGTGACGGGGGTCCTCAGCTAACAATATGTAAGGCAGGCGGTCCTCAGCTAACAATATGTATGGCAGGCGGTCCTCAGCTAACAATATGTGACGGCGGTCCTCAGCTAACAATATGTGAGACGGGGGTCCTCAGCTAACAATATGTATGGCAGGCGGTCCTCAGCTAACAATATGTGAGACGGGGGTCCTCAGCTAACAATATATAGGGCAGGGGGTCCACAGCTAACAAAATGTGAGACGGGGTCCTCATGTAACAATATGTATGGCAGGAGGTCCTCAGCTTACAATATGTATGGCAAGGGATCCTCAGCTGACAATATGTATGACAGGCGGTCCTCAGCTAACAATATGTGTGACGGCGGTCCTCAGCTAACAATATGAATGGCAGGCGGTCCTCAGCTAACAACATGTCTGGCAGGGGGTCCTCAGCTAACAATATGTGTGACGGGGGTCCTCAGCTAACAATATGTATGGCAGGCGGTCCTCAGCTAACAACATGTCTGGCAGGGGGTCCTCAGCTAACAATATGTGTGACGGGGCTCCTCAGCTAACAATATGTATGGCAGGTGGTCCTCAGCTAACAATATGTGTGGCAGGCGGTCCTCAGCTAACAGTACGTGTGGCAGGCGATGCTAAGCTAACAATATATGTGACGGGGGTCCTCAGCTAACAATATGTGTGACGGCGGTCCTCAGCTAACAAAATGTATGGCAGGGGGTCCTCAACTAGCAATATGTATGGCAGGGGGTCCTCAGCTAACAATATGTGTGGCAGGCGGTGCTCAGCTAACAGTATGTGACGGCGGTCCTCAGCTAACAATATGTGTGACGGGGGTCCTCAGCTAACAATATGTAAGGCAGGCGGTCCTCAGCTAACAATATGTATGGCAGGCGGTCCTCAGGTAACAATATGTGACGGCGGTCCTCAGCTAACAATATGTGAGACGGGGATCCTCAGCTTACAATATGTATGGCAGGCGGTCCTCAGCTAACAATATGTGAGACGGGGGTCCTCAGCTAACAATATATAGGGCAGGGGGTCCTCA